TTGAATAGTTTCTATAAAAAACCTTCAAAATTAACAAAATTATCTTTTTCATTATTATTGAACTGATATAATTTCAGTCTATTTATATCTTTTTCTTCCGTTCAATTTCAATAATTTCCCGCCCATATTGATTTATTTGTTTTAAATGATCATATTGACAAGTATGACAAATTATTATTTCATATGTCTATCTATCTATCTATCTATCTATCTATCTATCGGTCTGTTTGTCTATCTATCTATTTATCATCAGCTGTTATAATAAATAATTGTTCAACTAGGAAACTATTAACTAACTATTAAACTCATTCTGATAATAATCATCTGCTCACTAGTGACTGACTTCAGGAGAACCTTCTGGAGTTCTAGTGAGAAGCCGTCATCAGTGGAGTTCAACCAGGTCTGTTTTGAGATATCAGCTCACTGAAGACATTGGTGTTCTATGGCGCAACTTCGTGGATTGGTTGAAGTTAGACATTAACACCGTTGGATGCCGGCTCAGTGGTCTAATGGTTAAGTGCTCGCGCGCGAAGCCAGTAGGTCCTGGGTTCGAGCCCCGCGTGGTGCGGGATCGTGGATGCGTACTGCTGAGGAGTCCCATACTAGGACGAAACGGCCGTCCAGTGCTTCCAGGTTTTCAATGGTGGTCTAGCTTCAACTGACTCATGATTTCAACTTGTGAAATTTACTAAAATCTCCACAAAACTCATTCTGATAATTAAATATATCTCAATATAGAAGAGTAAATGTAAATTTTTTGGGCAAATAGACTATTTCAATAGTCGAAATCATGAGTTAATTGAAGCTAGATTACCATGGAAAACCTGAAAGCATTGGATGACAGTTCAGTGGTCTAATGGTTAAGGTCTTGGGTTCGAATCTTGTAGGAGGGCAGGATCGTGGATGCGCACTGATGAGATGTCCCATACTAGGATGAAATGGCCACTCAGTGCTTACAGGTTTACCATGGTGGTCTAGCTTCAACTGACTTATGATTTCAACTATTGAAATAGATATTTGTCTATTTAAAGTAATATATTACTATTCAAAATATCTGAAAATAAATCATTTTAATATAAGAATAATGTGAATGAACTTCAAATTTGATCAACATTAAAACCACTATGGAAAATCTGGAAGCATTCGATGGTTGTTTCGTTCTAGTATGGGATTCCATCTTAGAAGTGCGCATCCGCGATTCCACCTCACGAGATTCGAACCCAGGACCTATCTGTCTAGAGCGTGAACGCCTAACTTCTAGACCAATGGTGTTAATGTCAACTTCAACTAATTCATTTAATTGAACGACACATCCATCATTGTCTTCAGTGATTTACTATCATTACAACAGACCTGGTTGAAATCCGTTGGTGATGGCTTCTCACTAGACGTCCAGGAAATACATCTTGAAGGCAGTCACTAGTGAGCACATGATGATTATTATCAGAATAGGGATTTCTGAAGATTGTAGTAACCTTAATGGTTGAATTCACGAGTCAATTGAAGCTAGATCACCATGGAAAACCTGGATGACCGTTTCGTTCTATTGTGGGACTCTTCAGAAGTACGCATCCACGATTCCACAAGTGAGATCCAAACCAAGTATCTATCGGTGTCGCGTAAGAACGCTTAATCTTTAGACCACTGAGCTGACATCCAACGGTGTTAATGTCTAACTCCAACCAATTCGCGAAATAAAATAAACTCATGTTATTCTTCTCAAATCTTTGTTGTTGTCCTCATCAAAAATATCATTCTTATGATGTTAAGTCACTTAAACTAATCGTCACGATACAACTTGATCGATAGAATTCATTGAGTATCAAAGCCTAGATCAACATAACATTCACCACTGATCAATATCAGTACGTATTAATTTCAACATGGTAAAGAAGATTCATAGCTCAGTGCTATCAAAAGACTCTGCATTTTATCAGTGACTTCACCAAACAGGACTATATCTTCTGTGTATTCCAAATAGATATGTGGACCTTCTGGAAGGAGATCAGTGCCCGAAAATTCAGTCGATGAGAGCGTTATTTCCATCAGTATGTCTATGATGAATATAAACAAAAGTGGAGAAAGTAAACAGCCTTGACGGACACCATATGAGATTGCAAAAGCAAATGACAGTCCACCATAATCTCTCACTTGACTAGTGGTGTTCAAGTATAGAGTCTTCACAAGGTTTATATACTTCTGAGGTACACCTTCCAATGAAAGACACTGTCACAGAACCTCTCGGTCTACAGAGTCCTTATATAAAATCTTTTCTCTATATATTACACCATTCAGTTAACTGATTCTATGAATCCGGTACTCATCTTGCTGTGCTAATGAGGTGTGGCAACTTGAACCGATGCATGTATGTGCCTGGTCCTAAGTTGTAATTGACTGACTGTCTGACTGATCTAAGTGGTTTACTTCCGTAACATACATTGTCCTTCTAGATAGCATAAGAACAAACTTTATATAAAAGTGTAATACACGAACTTCTCTATATACAACTAACAGTTTATTATGTCAACCTTGATCTGTAATTGACTGTTGTCCTGTCATTGTCTGGATGTTTATTTTAGTTGGTTCTCCCTACCCTTTTTTTTGCTCTGATTTTCGAAGTTACATTTGCCAAATGAATAAAAAGATTATGATCTTTTTAATTATCCTAATTTGTCTGTGAAAAATCTATTCAACTCGTATTCTATGCAGTACAAGTCAAGTCATCCATTTTAGCTAATTCGTTATTAAATTATTTATTGATTTATAACCTGTAAGGACGGCCTATAAGTGAGCTCGAGGAAGTTCTAAGAAGCTTGGAAAGAGTCAAAGATATTCCATCCAATCATCTTTTGGAAGAATATTCCAGAATCCCTATGTGGAGCTTCCCTATCGGACAAATGCTAAAAAAACCCTATATGCAGATTGTATGATTATAATGATGATTTCGATTTTACTAATAGCTATAAATACATGACAATTTGTGGCATACTTGACACTGTTTGAAATAACATTCCTTTCACTTTTCTTCTGTCTTTTTATTTGCGACTTGGGACAGTTCTAGCGTTCGAGTGCTCAAGTTATACACGGTATCTTAAGTATCTAAGCTCTAGATATAACACAACCACAGTAAAAAAAATCACCCAGGTAAATCGTAAACGGTTATTAAATTCTCTACTAATCATAATTTTATTGTAGTGTCAGTTGCTATGTTAAGCCCATATAATTTATTCTGGCATCCAGACAAACCAATTTATGCAGTCTTCTGAAGCTACATTTTGACCTTGTTAATTATTCGCTTATCAAACTTCACCGTTTTCATATGAGCGTATATGTGTGCACTTCTTATTTTATTCATCGCATGCCTGTAACTTATTTGTTGTTCGGCTATAAATATCGATTAACGCTAGGATAAATCGAGTTGGCTCACACGCCCCCTTCACTGCGGGTCGTTTCGCTTCACTCTCTTCACTTCTTTACTCCGATCGTTCGTCCGGATCAACGGTTGTATGAAATATGCATATTCAAAACTTCATTCTCTTATTCGACTTATTCGACTTATTCGATCCCGTTATACACTAAAGCGATTTAAGTGGATGATTATATACGAGGACAGCACGAATGTATATTTTGACAGTAATCATTCGATAACTATCATTTATACGATCTAAACGGAGTCAGATATAGAACCATTAAATTATATTATCCATGATAAAACTCATTGCAAACTACAGTTTTAGACATTACATTTGAATCTAGATGATACTTTCATCAACGTTAAAAATAAATAGTCCTAAAAGTTAACTATGATTTCTAGAGTCATCATACAATAGATCCATTCATACTTGATCTAAAACAAGAAACGTGAATCAATACGTGTTATCATCGAAAACATTTCAAGACATTTATATCTATCCAACCATCTTCTTTCTAATTCACTTTGAATTGTTTGGTTTATATCTTCGCATTGAGGTTTAAGACTGCAATTGATCAGTGTGTTATTGGTATATGTGCATACAGTGCGTATGCCTCGATATTACCTTAATCTACAAGCTATTTGCAAGCAATGATGGATAATGGATAGCAGTGGAATCCAGGATGCGCGATGGCATTTGAAGTGAATGGTACTGAGTTCGAGTCCCAGAGTGAACACCAACTCGGAGATGCAGGCACATCCAGCTGACGAGTCCCTAAAAGAACGAAACGCGCGTCCTGGATTCCACTGCTAGTCACTATCCATCATCTTCTTTCTATTTGAGATGTTTTTTTGAAAGGAATAGCGTTCAATAGGACAGTGAAAAATACTTTTGTAATTTCGGTAAGACTATAATCTATGGATAAACTCATCAGGAATAAGATAACAGATCTCGGATTTTGACGCGAAATTCACTCATCCCTTTGACAAAATAGAGTTTCAGCATTATAGCTGATGTCAGTTTAGTGATGAAAACTGCAAATCATAATTCTAATTCCTCACACAAGTTTATCATCCTTATTTAGTCTTAGTTACTAGATGGACACTCTCAAGATCACTTTAATGTCATTGAAAGATCATCCATAAATTCTAATCTCACCGTAATTTCTAATTCATTTAAGTGTTGATTATTACCTTCATCGAATAAATATCTCACTATAATTGTGTTGCTATCACAAACTAATCAACTGATTGGTATTTCAAACAGTCACGTGCATTTTTTTTGTGTTATTTTACACTGGAAAAATTTATGAGTTAATTATACTCATACTATAGTATCCATAGTAATAATAATAATAATAATAATAATTTCTATGTTGATTCTACAACCTGATCCAATTACTGTCAGAAATAATCAAAACGATTGATGAAATGCTTTTAGTATTAAAAAAAAAGATGGGAACAAAAAAAGAGAAGAGAACAACATCGAATGTATCTCATTCAAATCAATTATGCATTCATTCATTTTTATAATAATAATAATAATAATAATAATAATAATAATCTATTTTTAGTAATCTGGTCGTAAATGAATATACATTTATCATACAAAGTAAATACTGAGATATGGTATATACAATGGAAGGGAAAGCACTTAATCAATTTGTTAACGAGTTTTTTTTATATTTTATTTTTCTATTCTACCTTTTTCTCCTCCCCCTGTTTTATATAGTTCATACACTACTACTACTACTACTACTACTACTACTACTACTACTACTACTACTACTACTACTACTACTACTACTACTACTACTACTACTACTACTACTACTACTACTACTACTACTACTACTACTACTACTACTACTACTACTACTACTACTACTACTACTACTACTACTACTACTACTACTACTACTACTACTACTACTACTACTACTACTACTACTACTACTACTACTACGATTGCGACAAGCACTACGACTACTATGACTAGTGGAATGTTTAATGTATGAAGATTGTAATAAAGAGACGATAGAAGAAAAACAGAAATGTTTATTTTCATTTTGAACCTGTTAATTATTCACTTATCAACTTTCAATTCTTTTATGTTAGTGTATGTGTGTGCACTTGTTATCTTGCTCATTACATATCTGTAATTGATCTCTGTTCAGTTATAAATGTCGATTCACTTTTAGCTAAATTGAATTGGTTAACATGCCTTCTCCACCGCGCATCATTTTGCATCGTTCTCTTCTCTTCGTTTCCTTTGCTTGGTTCCTTTGATTGTCTGCCTGGATCAACGATTGTACAAAATAAACGTATTCAAAACTTCATTCTCGTATTTGACTAATTTAATTCTGTGGTTGAATTGATGAGCCAATTGAAGCTAAACCACCATTGAAAATCTGGAAGCACTAGATGGTCTTTTCGTTCTTGTACGGTATGACTCAGCAGTGCATATCCACTATCCCACATGTGAGATTCAAACCAAGGACTTTCGATCTCGCGCGCGAACTCCTAATAACTAGACCACTGAGCCAGCACCCAACGATGTTAATGTCTTACTTCAAGTAGTCCACTACATTGAGCCACTATCCACAATTATCTTTAGTGAGTTTCTATCTAACAACAGACCTGGTTGAACTTCACTGGTGATGACTTCTCACTAGAAATCCAGGAAATACCTCTTGAAGACAGTCATTAACGCGAGTTAATTAGACAGTTATATACGAGAGTAATGAAAATATGTATATTTTGATAATTCGATAGCAATCATTATACGATCCAAAATAAAGTCAGATCTTGAGCCACTAAAAATGGAATTGAAAAAATCATGAAAAATATACAAATAATATATTTCATTGAGATCACGAACCGATTTATGTCAGACCACCATTGAAAACCTCGGAGCACTGGATGGCCGTTCCGCCCTATTGTGGGACTCCTCAGAAGTTCGCATCCACGACCCCGTCCACGGGATTTGAACCCAGGGCCTTCAGTCTCGCGTGCGAACGCTTAACCTACTAGACCAGTGGGCCGGAATCCAATGGTATTAATTTTTGACCTCAAACAACCCACGAAGTTGCCGTCCAGTACTTCCAGGTTTTCAATGGTTGTCTAACATCAATCGGTTCATGATCTCAATCAAAAACTTAACAATCTCCACAACCCCTAAACTGATAATATATTTCATGTAGGATTTTCACATTTGACTAAATCACTATATAATTAGACATCAAATAAGAATATGATCTCTATTACAATACTACCACACTTATTGTAATTAATAAAATGGTTAATAACGATTAATAACAGTGTTAATATATGAATTAACTTACTTACATTAACAAGACTACTGATCAGTTAGTGATTGATTGCGTGAGCGAGTGAGTGCGTGAAAGAGTGAGTGAGTGAGTGAGTGAGTGAATGAATGAGTGAGTGAGTGAGTGAGTGAGTGAGTGAGTGAGTGAGTGAGTGAGTGAGTGAGTGAGTGAGTGAGTGAGTGAGTGAGTGAGTGAGTGAGTGAGTGAGTGAGTGAGTGAGTGAGTGAGTGAGTGAGTGAGTGAGTGAGTGAGTGAGTGAGTGAGTGAGTGAGTGAGTGAGTGAGTGAGTGAGTGAGTGAGTGAGTGAGTGAGTGAGTGAGTGAGTGAGTGAGTGAGTGAGTGAGTGAGTGAGTGAGTGAGTGAGTGAGTGAGTGAGTGAGTGAGTGAGTGAGTGAGTGAGTGAGTGAGTGAGTGAGTGAGTGAGTGAGTGAGTGAGTGAGTGAGTGAGTGAGTGAGTGAGTGAGTGAGTGAGTGAGTGAGTGAGTGAGTGAGTGAGTGAGTGAGTGAGTGAGTGAGTGAGTGAGTGAGTGAGTGAGTGAGTGAGTGAGTGAGTGAGTGAGTGGGATTATTCCTATTACCATTTTTTTTAAAAACTTAGGATCTATGAGGACAACTGGTAAAAAATTTTAATGAGACAATTTTTTTGACAACTTTTACAAGGTAACGCCCAATCGATGCTTAGAGATAGAGCGATAAGTACTAGCAAGCAATACTATTTGGTTAAGTATTAAACTAAATTGTATTCTATTTCTCTCCTTATACATACTTTCCATCCTTTTGTTCCAATACATAAGTCATTAGTAATCATTTGAAAGAGAGAGAGAGAGGTGAAAATAGGGTTGGATTTCTTTCTTTTTTTTAAGTTTCACTAATAATAGTCTCTATTATTGTCAACTGATTCAATCAATAATGGAATAGGCCCTAAAATTAAGAATCATCACAGTGATTGTATCAAGATAGTTGCATTGTAAATAGATCAAATTGATTTCCAATCAATAAACTAATTACATTTAAGTCGTTTAATTTGATTGAATTCAATCATTGAAAATTGAAATAGCATGACTATAATCATTTGTTTTCCTATTTTCTTATCCATGAAATCTCTTATTAGTGTTTATCCCAGATACACATATTCTCAACCTGTTAATTAGAAAATCATAAGGTTAAATGGATGGTTCCAAGTACTTGAGTATGTACATACAACCACTGTCTTCTCGTGGCGACTATGTTGTTTACGAAATTGAGAAGACGAAAACTGAATGTTCAACACTTTAACCGGAATGGTGGACACAGAGAGTTCACCTAGGGGAGTTGGAAAACCCTCATTCCAAACTAATGGTGCACATGGGCTACAGTATCCTGAAGGAACAAATGGCGTATGAACCAATAGTTGGTCACCAGCTACCATGAGACTGCATCTCCTTACGTTACTCTACTACCTTGTGGATTAAATCTCTAGGTCGGTGGCTCCGAGTGTGGGCCCTTAATAAAACCACGTGCTTAGGTTTCAGCACTCGTTCAGCATCCCAGCCCTCACACAGATCGAATGATTTATATCACGCATATTTATTTGCTGTCATCTTGTATCACTGTTTATGTGTTTAAGTAAATAAATAAACATCAGTTAATAGATTAAATGAGTTACGAAAAGAATTAATCATTGAATTATTCATATTCTTTTTGTAGCCTATATCCAGGGCATCTGAATACAGAACACGTCCTAAAAATTGATCATGAACGTTGAACATCAGATTAAAACCTAATGGTTTTAAACTATTTTGATCATAATTTCATATGCCATTTGTTCCTTCAAGATCCTGGAGCCCATGTGTACCATTGATTTGGGATCGGGGTTTACCAACCTCCCTAGATAGGTCCTCCGTATCCACCATACCGATTAAAGCACCTGACATTCGCTTTTTTCGTCTCAATTTCGTAACCAACAGTAATACGGCAAGAAGGAAGTGATTATGATTTCCCTGTAAGTGGTTTTATGCACGTGGTCATGTAATAGCATTCTGAAAGGTAGAGTGAGCTCTCCCTACCCTCGGCCGTGCCAGGGCATTTGGGGGCACCTCCCTGATTAACATTCAGGGTTAAGCTGATTACAATTCTTTGATCATTCGTTAGGGCAAAATCTGGAATCTTATTTGCTTTTTGTCATTTTCAGTTATTTTCAAGTTTATATCGTGTTTATATTGTTCTACATTTCTATTCACATACACAGATACATTTAAATTGGTAAGTATAATGAAATAGTTAGAGTTTACCTAACATCTTTATAAACTTGTACAGTATTTAATCCATTTAATAGTTGAAGTTTTCAATCAATTACATTTTGAAATAGTCACATGCTTTGTTCAAACCTTTAAAGTGAAGTTTTATGCTGCTACTGATGATGTCATGGTTCAGAAGAACAATGAAAACTCCACAAAGCAAACCATCCAGCTCAAAGAACAAAATTTCATCAAAATCATTCACTTGAGCTACAAATCTTCTCCACGAAATCAAATCTTAAGTTACGTTTTTGTGTATCTCAATGAATTAAAACTTCTACAGATTTCAACGAAGATGAATGATGACTAACAGTGGAATCCAGTTACAAGTAAAGAATGTCATATAGGGCATATGAAGCCTATGAAACGTATACGAGAATTCTACATTTTTCTATACAGTATCCATGCTTATGTAGTAGTAATTATTGATTTGAATAATCTGAAAAATCAATCAAGTTGATAAATCGAATATAATTTCCCTCATTAGTAACATTTTCTGATTGTTGACCTATATGGAAAAACACCCGGAAATTCAATAAACACTAAATGACATACACACACACCCATATATATATATATATATATATATATATATATATATATATATATATATATATATATATATATATATATATATATATATATATATATACGCGCACATTCAAGAATGTATATACAAACACACACACATGCACGCACGCACGCACGCACGTGTACTCTGTAACCATAGTTTTGAAAATCGGGTGTAACTAATTACACTGTATTGGTCAGACTATATGCCAACAACAACAAAAATGGGTAGTAAACTACTCTGTTTCATATTGACCTAAATATTAAGAGTAAAATAGTTCGGTTAAAATAAAGCTAAATTGATTCAAATTGTGTTGTAAATAATCATTAATCATAGTTACTTTAGTTGTAAAATTATTTGAATCATTCACTGAATCGAGTTTTTTTCTTCTTTCTTCTATTATCATAACTATATGGTTAGTAACAGCAAGGAAATATTGATCTATTTTTTTAAAGATATGTCATGAATATAAGCAAAGATGGATAGTGGCTAGCAGTGGAATCCATGACGCACGTCTCATACCATTTTGGGACTCGTCAGCTGGATGTACCTCCATCTCAGAGTTGATGTTCACTCTGGGACTCGAACTCAGTATCGTTCGCTTCAAACGCCATCGCGTTATCCACTTAGCTACTGAGTCCTAATAGCCACTTGTTTATGCGATGAGGTGAAATTTTGATTCACTTGGTATTGTTTACTTAAATCTTCCCACTAATGTTTAGGATTACAATTGATCAGTACGGTACTGAGTTCGAGTCCCAGAGTGAACATCAACTCTGAGATGCAGGTAGATCCAGGTGACGAGTCCCAAACAGGACGAAACGCGCGTCCTGGATTCCACT